TTAATTGCCCCTTCCCCCCCCCCCCCCCCATCAAATTTCCAGACCCTTGGGGGACCCCATGTGCCATATCACACAAATCTGTGGTCCAGGAGTTTTGCACCCTGATCTCAGCTATTGAAGAATCCTGATGATTTAAAAGCAGCAATTAGCTTCTCAATTAAGTTCTTCCTCTACTGACTAAATTTTAATTGTAGGTCCATTGGTGGAAGGTGTAGATTGTCTGTCTTGATTAGAATGCTAATTTTCTTACATTAACATAATCATATCGGCAACTTTGAGCTGATGGTGCTTCAAGAGAAAATGTGGTGAAGGTGAAGTTGATCTGCTTGTTTATAGGAGCAGCTATGATCCACACACAATCCAAATTTTTGTCATATCTGCCATTCATGTCAGAATCTGGAGAGCCAAAGCTGTAACTGGAATTGGTCAGATAACCACCACAGCCGTGCTGAGGTCCTGTTAAAGAAGCAAAAACAATTTTAAGTTACGATAGTTATTTACATGTTCACTCTTATTTTAATTTAATGTTCCAGGCTTTTCTTTCATTCAGAATAGCATTTCATTGCTTATCTCAGGGCTGTTGAACTTTTGGCTGGGGCCTATATGTCCCATCGGCTGTACCAGCAGTGGCTGCACTCAGTAGGGGCTGTAGTGATAGAGACCACAAGGCCCCCAAGCTGTGCCCTGCATGCAAGGGAGGTCCCCCCAATACCTGCTGTGCAGGGTGGGTGGGCATACAAAATCCAGGTGCCCCTGCATAGTAGTTTATCTCACCTGCAGCTCCCTCAGGGTTTCCCCATGACACTATACCACTCTCAGCTGCTGCATCCCGCAGCACTGTGGATTGCATGCTGTGCTGCCCCATCCCCTGCGGCTGGGTTAGGTAGTGGAAGTGAAGGACAGGTGACAACATGTGGCCCCTGGGCTAACTAACCCCTTACAGGCTGCTTGCAGCTCACTAGCCGCCAGCTGGACAGTGCTGCCTTATCTCACAAGGCTATTGAGAAAACTATATGAATGGTTAAAATACTTTTAAAAAGTGCTAAATAAATGTGAATTATGTTTAAGGATAGAAAATTGAGTTTAAGAAGGCAAGTCACTGACATAGACAAAATAGATTAAATCATACATTTCCCTGATCTTCTTTAGCCGCATAGGAAAAGCCATTAAAACGCCCATGAATGAACTGAAACTTGAGACAGGGAAGAATTATGATGGGATGAGTCAAACTCTTCAGCCATTTGAAAATGCTACCCAATTGGAACACAGTAAACAAACAAACAAATAAATGACACTACCCAAACACAATAAATACATGAAAAATGCCACCCAATTGGAACACAGTAAATAAATAAACAAATTTGAAACTATCTGCTTATCTTAAGAGGAAGTAAAATGATTATTGTTGCCGTGGATTTTAGAAAAGAAGCCAAGGCTTTCAAACAAGGTTAATAAGTTTTGATTGTTGAATGTCCAGTTAGAGAATTCTCAAAATCCCCAGATTCTCAGAGTGCTCAGCACTGAAAACCAGGCCTACCACTGAAATCTCTAGTTAGGTACCCAAAATCACTAGTCATGTCAGAAAATACTGGGCAAGGAGTTTTGAAAAAAGGAAGCAAATGATAGTTTCATAGTTTCTAGTTTCTAGATAGAGGAGAGAAATGTAGATAGAAGTGTAATGAATATACACGTAACGATAATTCCTTACAGCTGCTAAATTCTAATTTAAGGTGTGGCCAGAAGCAGTATTTTTTTCATCTTTTATCTGACCCTACAATTCTCTGTGCAGTAGGGGGCACCATGTCTTTGACTTTGAAAATCCAGTGGACAATCTAGTTATTTGTACATCACGCCCATATTTCTGGAGCTAATCCAACCTTGTTTGATTTTTTGTAAGGCCCTAGGTTCATATGCAGACAACTCATTCAAAATGCTCTGATTTCCAAAATACTAAGTTTCAGGCAGACTTGCTGCTCACTTTTAATTAGCTCTCTAGATAGGGGTAATAGATAATAAGCCCTCGGATCCAGTTGTCAAATTTTTGGTTACCCAGATTTGAATATTTGGTCCTGTAATTTATTAAAACTTGCTAGATTAGATAGATTTCTGTTTGTGATGATCGTTTATAACCTGAAACACTTTTATTAACTTCTAATCCTAAATTACGTGTAAAGTATAGGTTATTTGCAGGGACATTTGCTAGCATTTGGCATTCTGGTTTCCTGGGATTGGATCACTTCATTTTGCTGGTTAAAATGTATCATCTGTTAAAATCTTAGGCCACCCTCTGCTTTCTGTGGGGATTCTCATCTAGTTACCTAACTCATGCATGAAAATATATTGAGTCTTGTTAATGATTCTAATTTAGACTGAATGTTACAAAGAGTGCCTGTACACTACAGGCTGTGGGCAGTGAGTGTCTGTCTGCTGTTTCTCACAGTGAATGTTTGTATAATAATTAAGCAAAATAATCCATAGTTATGGATCAGCAGCCTGAACATTGTTTTGGAATCTCATTTGCATATGTAACATCTGCCTTTTTGCCCATCAGAAGTTGTCTTAACTTTGACACTGATACAATTAAAACCATATAAATATGGGCACCACCTGAGTTACAGTTACAAAACTTAAATCAGAAGTAAAATGAGGCCCAGAGGATTGCATCAGCAATTGTGTCAGTGGCAACATCATTCTGCAAAACTGCAATAACTACATCAGTGAACTCAAATTAAGGTCATCTTGCTATTCTCTCTGAGGCAGAAAAATCTCCATTTAAATAAGATGTTATAAGGAAGGTTCAAATGCTTCAGTGGTTTAGGTTTTTTTTAAAAAGCAACAAGTAACAAGCAGAGAACACACAATGGAACAGAATGAAAAAAAATCAAACATTAGCAGGATCCTGTCCAGAGACTTGGACACATCCAGTAAAATGTCAGAAAACTGGAAAACTCTTAAAGTAACTTTGTCGCCACTGCAGAATTTAGAAGAAAGATGTGGGAAATGCAACCATTTAATTCTGTTCAATAAAGCATTTGTACAACAAGCAAATTGTCCAAGAAGAGAATGCTTGTGGGCTGGAGTGCTGCTTTGCTATATTCTTTTCAGTGTTAGCTCTTGTTCAAGATAAACACAATCTATTCAAATCAAGTCTATTAATGCTATTTCCTGCCAGGAGCTGGGCACTCTGGACTTCGTCCATGAAATCATTTAAGCATATGATCAACATCAAGCAAGCAGACATCTGACTGAAGCCTGAGAAGCAAAGATTATTAGTGCAGAACTAGTGCTACATTAGCTTGACTATATCACTTCCAGGTCTGCGGTTAGCTTGCACAAGGCCTGCATGATTCTGCTTCAAGCTACAGAGATGTCAGATAGCTATCCCATGTCAGGCCATCTCATAAAGCTCCTCCCCTTCACAGTTAGATCTGGTACCACAAAAGTCCTCAGTATGTGTTAGGGCTGCCTTGGGCCACAGTTATTAGTTTCCCTTTTCTGGGTGCTGGGTTTTTGCTTGTAGCTGTGTTGGTCTAAGGATATAGGCAGGCAAGCTTCTTTGGGAAGATGGGATTCTATCTATCTATCTATCTATCTATCTATCTATCTATCATTCTTTGGGTAGGTGTGATATCATAGATACCCAAAGAACCTTGCCTGCCTTTTCTGGGTGGGAACCAGAAACCTGGGTTCTTCTAGATTCACCACTCTCATCAATAAAAGATGCTTGTATAAACACAACACAGAAAATAAAACACACGGATGCTGCCTGTGTGTCTACAACAGCAAAAACTGTGCTGACGCAAAGAAGTAAAAAGGTTAAGCTCCAATTAAAGATAAATTCAGTCTGGCTAGAATAGCTGATATAGCTTCTGTGAGGAGATTAAATTAAATTAACATTGATATGATTTACAATTGAGAAACCTCCTTTTCTTCAGTAGCATGCAGATATTTAGTTTTCCATACCAGTTTTGAGACAAAAATAGAAAATTATGAAATATTATTAGTGATAGGTAGAATGAAAACTAAGATCCTGAATCAAGCCAAATGAAGAGCTCTGCTGGTTTAAAAATCTATCTGTGCTGGGCTTCTTTTCAGCACAATTCACTTTCGCCTCTAAGCATGATGTATAAAAGTTAACAGAACAATAGTTTTATTACAGAATAGTAAATCCTTACGAGGAAAGACCTGCAAGCTAAGATACTTTTGTTTCCAATTACTTTAGGAAACAAAAACTCACAGTTAGAGATAAACATTTTTGCACTGCACTGAACTGCTTTTTACCCAAAATCCAGCTGCTCATTATGATAATCACCACCATTGATTCCTACCATCAAAATGTAACAATTGCACCATATTTCTGAAAAGAACCCCGATTTGGGAGGTCAACAATCAGCACTTGATAGCTATGCATTGTCCTGCTGACACGTTTAGCTGGAATAGGGCAAAAAAGAATAGAAAGTTAGGCAAAACTTCAGGACTGGGAAACCTGTTGGACTATGAAAGCAGAGGAAATCCCATCATTTGGGATATACTTAAATAGTTTGGATAAAAGCGATAAGAAATGTACTTTATAGATCAATACTGCACTGACAAGTAGGGGCAATGCGTAATATAATATCATGTTCCTACTTCCAACTGCTGACTCTAAATCAAGCAAAACAAAACAAAAAAGATGAAGTTATCATTAAGCAAACTCTAATCATTTCCTCTATGACACTAGCATATACAGAATTGGGGTGAGGAAGAATCTTTGTAGCTGTGTGTCTTTGAAACACAGAAATTGGTAAACGCTAACATTTATTCTGCTAAAGAGGCATTAAAATCTTCTAATTTTTAAATATCTTAAAAAAAGAGCAGCAGGTAGCTAAACAGATGGCATTTTAGAACACAAACATTAATATTAATGGAAATACTTTATTTTCTTCCTATCAGGTAACACTAATACCACAATTTCTCTCAGCCGGATTCAAAAGCAGTGTTGCAGTTCTTCATGGGGAGTAATCATAATACATTCAATTTTCTATATTACAGGAATGTTACATATTTATCCTTCTAATTTCTAGATCACATTTGACACCACTTAACATTTCTGGCCACTATGGACTTAACCCTGACCTGAATTAAGCCAATGTATTTATAGATTAACTCTACTGCAGTCAGTGCCTTTCTAACCATTCTTCAGCACTGGCAGGTGCTAACAGGCATACCTGGCTGCCAGTGGAAATTTTACACACTCCTTTAGGATGGGTTTCAAATATCCATACTCACTCAGTAATTGTGCAAGGATGAAAAGGATTATAGGAAATTCATATACCTAGGACCTGTCCTAGAACCTATGAGGAAGGGTTTCTAAACCCCAACAGCCTCAGATTTAAAAGTTAGTTGAAAAGTTTGATAACGCTGGAGCCAACTTGATCCCCTTCATACTACAACATGAATGTTGCAGCAGATCAATT